TTTTTTTCTAACAATTCATATATCAGCAAAATCAAAACTTAGTAAACATAACAAGTATGGGTATTTTGGGAACCACTCTCTTGTTTGGTCTCTAGCTGACTGTACACACCACATCTTCCTGAAAAAAACCAAAGTTAAGTCAAGGCCCACGTTCCCGATCCCAATCCAACAATCAAACAAGAACATGACAAGAGACCGAGCCCATGTCCCTAACCCAACCCTTTTTATTATAAATTATTTTTCAAAACCATTTGCAAAAACTCTTGGATCCTAGTTTGAGACTTGATCCACACAAGTGTTCCTAAGGCTATCATAAGTAACCAGAGGTGAGATAGCCACCCGAACAGATGATCCTACTTTGGAGCCACAACCAAACAATCAAGAGGCAAGAAATCCTAGATCAAGAGTTCTCATGTTATCATACATGACCATATACAGTCCCTAAGGCACTCCTCTAGATGATAACCATCAAGTATAGGTATACATACACATTTACTGATCACTACTGCATAACAACATCCTAAATACCACGATACATATCTAACAGATCACTACAACATTACAATGTACCAACTACCAGGATACATGTCTAACAGGCCACTACAACATAGCAACATAACAAATACCAGGATACAGATCTCACAGGTCACTACAACATAGCAACATACTAAATACTAACAATCCAAGGAATGCAATACCTTATATACTCAGAGGTGAGATAGACACTCGGACATGTGATCCTACTCTGGAACCACAACCAAACAAGGAACATGTAAAAGAACCTAGATCAAGAGTCCTCAGTCTATCCTACATGACTATATACAGTCCCCATGGCATCCTTATACCAAAGATAACCAAAACTAGTGGGCCGGCATTGGTGCCTTCGACCCACGGGTACAATAAGGCGAAACTTACCTGAATCGAAGAACCTTGAAAGACTGCGATATGCTCCCTTCTATACTGCTCACTCCCGCGAATCCACTAACACCATAACCAGATAAAATCTTTATCAATGGCCCAAAATCCTCAAGTTTGACTTGGTCAAAAAGCCAATGGTCAACGAAAGTCAACAAAAGTCAAAGTCCAAGGCAGTTGAGTACGCCCAACGTACTCAACGTACGCCCAACGTACGCATCCTGACCCTACTCCTTCATTAAGCATTTAATCCTTTAAGGACTTTTCACCCAAACTTAGATCTAGCCTCAAAACATTGTCTTAAGTCATAAATTTTCCACCTTTATGACTTTCCATGGCTAGGGAAGGTCCAATAGCCAAAAACCCTAACTTATTAATCCTTTAAGACATCACAACTCTTGTATGGAAGGGATAGAAGGACTAAGATCACATTTTTATGGTTCCTAATAGCTCTATAATGGATAAAGTTTCCAACTTTATCAATTAGAATGGTCCTAACAAACAAGATCTAGTCTTTAAGTCTCAAAAGGACCAAAAATGCATATTTTTCAACTTAATCCATTAAGTCCAAGTCTCCAACCTTTAGATCTGAATCAATATGATGTTTAGATAGATAAAGTTTACAACTTTATCCATAAAAAGGTCACCAACCTTCAAGATCTAAACTTTATGCACTTAAAGTGACCAAAAGCTCATAAGACCCAAAACTAGCTAGATCTAACAATTTCATCATCAAGATTCAAACTTTATACCTCCAAAAGAAAGATCAAGGTGAACAAGGTCTGGATCTACAAGCTCCAATGCAACCAACACTTCTTCAATGGGTTCCTTCTTCTCTAAGGTGCACCAAGAATACTCCAAACCACTTAAAAACACTTTCTTTTTGCTCACAAGGCTCAAACTAGGGTTAAGGTTTCAAGGAAGGGTGTTGGAGAGGTGGATGCTAAGAATGGAATAGGTTTAGGGAAGTTAAGGAGCTTAAATAGGGCTTAAACCACAAAAATAGGTTTTGGGCACTGGTCGCGTACGCCCAGCGTACTAGGGATGCCCTAGTACGCCCAATGTATGTGGCTAACCCAAAAATTGTCCTAACTTTAAATGGTCATAACTTCTTTGTTCCAACTCCGTTTTCGACGTTCTTTATATCCACGGAAATGTATTGAGGATATCTACAACCCTATCTAAATATCCTGGACTAAAAACTTCTAAAAAAATCAATATTTCATGCAAGAACCCGACTTATGACTTTTCCCGTTCTACCCTTCGGCCCAAAACATAATTCAAAGGTTTAGATCTCATAACCATCATTGCTTTCTTCCAAAAGGTCTAAACATTATTTCCTTAAGGCCCAAAGCGTTTACACAATCGAATTCCGTCCCACAGCCCTGAAATAAGAAATAACGGGAAACAGGATGTTACACTGTTAGATCTGTATCCCGGTATATAGGATGTTGTTATGCGGTAGTGATCTGTAGATCTGCCTGTTTGTCTGCTGAATGGTTATATGTTTATCTGATGCATATGTTGATATATTGTGGTTGGGTTGAGACTGTACTGCTTTGTGCTTCCAGTCAACAAACCCGGGGCAATCCAACCGGGAGGTTGTGGACTCAATATGTAGTATGTTTGGCAATCTAACCGGGAGGTTGTGGGCCAAGGGTAATCCAACCGAGAGGTTGTGGACCCAGAATGTAGTATTTATGGCAATCCAATCGGTAGGTTGTGGGCCATGGTAATCCAACTGGTAGGTTGTGGACTCGAGGGTATTCCAATCGATGACTAATTGGACCCAACATGCATGATTGTATATGTTATATGTTGTGTGGTGGTACTGTGGGGCGAAACTCACCAAGCTTCATGCTTACATTTTCAGTTTATTATTTCAGGTACTTCAGATAATTGAGGCAAAGTGAAGGCATGATCATACACATCCTTCATATTTTATGATATCCGACCTTGGGATACTCTGATTTGTAATTATAACTTTTGGAAACAGTGTTTTGTAAACAATTATAGTCATTAGGTTGTTTTTGAAAAATGAAAATTTTACCGTGATTTTTGGGATGTTACAGTCCATACCCTAACCCATACAAACTCAAACTCAAACCCTAACTCCTAAATGCTTATAAAAAGGCTTGAATCCTTTGCATGAAAACAAAAGAGCTTAAATATGCACTTATTAAATTCCCAACAAGTCTAGAAGTCACCCAAGAACAAGCATATGGTGTTGGAGTTCTCCAAACTACAAGAACTTCAAAGAAAGAAACTTAAATAGCCCAAAATCACTTCCCAAGCCTAGTTATATGCATGAAAACGAATAAAACGAGGAACTTTATGAGTTACAATGCTTATAGAGAGTCTAGAAGGGGGGGGGGGGACTTCAACTAGACAAGGCTTCTCCAAGCACCAATGGTCTTCTTTTTTAACAAGAAACTCCAAAAACTCTCATAAGGCTCAACAACACACACAAAGGCTAGGGTTCTAATTTAGAGAGAATAGAGGTTGAGAATAAATCAAACCCTAAACGTCTTATTCCTTAAATATGACTCAAGGCTCGAGATTTAGGGTTTTGGGTTGTGACCGCGACTTCACGTCGCTACTTAATGACATGACATGCATCACGACCATTAAGTTGCCGCATTGCGACCCTCCCAAAAATCAAAGCAGACCAAACTTAAATGAGAGAGAGAGAGAGAGAGAGAGTATGTGAAGACTAAATAACGACATCTCTATTATACATGGTGGATGTAAATAATCAAAATTTTGAAAAATAAATTAATAAGGAAAAAATAGTATTTTTCATATCTAAAAAGACCAAATACAATGACGCATCTAGAAATAAAAATCATCTGGTTCTCTCATTGAAACTAGGTAGATCCTTAATTTTTTCCAATACTAAAAGTTAGGTCTTAAAAAAAATTCTATATAAGTCCGACCATAGATATATGTAGCTACGCTCTTAAAATACACAACAAAACTAAAACATAAGGATTTTCGAGTTAAAAAAATAAAAATAAGGAATCAAACATACCGAAGATGTCTACTTTAAACTACTTTTATAGACAAGCAAAGAGTTGACACCTATATATCCTGAGACATTCTTATCAAATGGTCGTAATCAAATTCATATCCTCTTATCAAATGGTCGTAATCAAATTCATATCCATATCTATAATGAAATGAGGGGAGGTGATAATACCACTAGGTATGGCCTACACTCCCTTTTCTATATTAATAATTTAAAAATAAAAATAAAAAGCTACCTCTCACAATTTGAAAGCAACATCATATAAAACAATGTTCAAATAACATAAGGCGTGATTTTAGCGGTAATATCAAACTTCAAGCTTTTTCAAACTTTGGGGAGCCACGTCGTTTGTAAGGCATAACTTAAGGCGACAATTTTGTATATAAGTAATATTTTTATATGTATTTTCAACTATTATTCATTTTTATACACATTTATAAGTTAAGACGATATTTTAGTAAAGTTTGGCGTAATGTACAAACTTTGGAGTCACGTCACGTCATGACGAACTTTTTAAAACCTTATTAAAAAAAAGTAATAAAATGTTGAAAATTGATGTACTAGGAGAGAGAGTGGGAGACCAAGTCGATACAATATATATATATATATATATATATATATATATATATATATATATATATATAAAAGCAAAAAAAAAATAGAGTTAAAAGAAGTTACAAAGTTGAAACTTTAGGGTAGCTATGTGAAATATGAAAAGAACTAACCGATAGATAGCTAAAAGTTGTAGGGGCAAAAGTTAAAAAGCGTAGGCATGCATGAAAACCATTGAAGGGTAATGATTAATGAAAAAGTCAAAAAGACATTAGAGATTTGGTTGAAAAGAAGATCCAAGTAGTGGCGTGCATGCGAGTCCTACGCGAAGAACACACACAGGGCAATCTTTAACCCAATTCAACTGGAGCACAAAACCATACTGTGATTTGCGATGAGCGTTGTGTGAAAATGTAAATCAAAAATATGGAACTTGAACTGAAGCTGATGATTGATGATGGATTTGAGAAGATTGAGGGATCATGCCAATGAACTGTTCGTCAAAATGTCAATAAGAACGACAACACGAAGAAGGAGGTATGGCATAACTTACTGCCTTTCTCTCTTTCTTCTTTCCTTCTGTCATGATGTTTAATGATGAATCATGGACATAACTGATAACATAACTGATATACAGTGACACTGACTCGATTGCATGCAGAGTAACTTTTCAGGCCAAGATCCACGTACTGGGTTTTTCACTTCAAATCTGATGATTTCTTTCATGAACTTTCACATGATAATTCTGTAACCTACATTACAATGAGAAAAAAGACATTTTTTTAAATTAGTCGGGAATCAATTTAATTTGGGAAGTATTGATTTTAATTTGACCTAAAAATTGAATTATAAATGTTTAGACTTTATATTACTCAACATTCATATTAGTCGTGTGGGTTGTTTTGGATTAAAATTCTGTTACTTTTATTCGTTAAAATTTTAATGTTTTGTCCCATTTAGTGATTGTTGGAGTTTCACAGTTAGACACAATCATATTTGCCTCAATATATGTTAGAATCTCACATCTCAATCAAATGATTTTTTATATAAAAAAAATCTCACATACCTAACATGATATTAGAGCTGAAGTCTGATACATCAATGACTTGGTGGATATGTTATCGGCTAGACAAGTCATATATGCCTACATACATATATATTTTGAAGTCTTATAAATCTCAATAAAAGTTATTTTATAGAGAAAATATAAGACTCCACACGATATAACATGGCAAGAGCCCCATTCTCCCATTTAAGAGACTTAATACATGTCTAATGTCATTAAAAAAAACAAACAAATCATGTTTAATGATCAATTCCATCGAACTTTCATATCATTGACTCAATATATGTCTAGCCATCTATGTTACACATTGTCCTATATGTTTTTACATATTTTGGAGTTGTTAGAATATGACTTGGATTTTAGCGACCCGAATTAAGTAAACTGATCCAGAACAAAGTAAAGAAACATGAATGACGATTTCGAAGAGATAAATGTTTGAAGTATGTTGACTGCGGTTTGTTCAGTTTTTTCCGCATTCACTTGCATATGAGCTCGACACAACAGTTGCTAGGGTTTATAGTTACAAGTATTCATAGTTAGGTATTCCAATGTAATTACATTAAAAACAGTTTAGTAATAGAATAGTTTTTCGATCCTTGTCTATAGACTACATAACATCCACCGAACCATATTAATACTTTGTATCTGTATAATTGTTTTTCCTTGATCGCTTATTTAACTATAGTCCAACCTCTAACAAGAGAACACATTTAACAACAACAACAACAAATGCTTTTACTTGGCTTGTTTTTATTTCATTCAAGACACATTGAATCTAGTCAACCAAATTATTAATTACCATGATTACTAATTTATTTCTCTTAATGTAGCGAAACAAATGTAGCATTTTCCCTTATAGGAGAAGCAGACCAGTCCAAAACACAAAATGACGTGGCCACTAAGATAACGCCACGTCACTTATTGACTATCCTGTAAAGCTAGAATGAGATATAGAGGAAAATAAAGTACACCCCACACACCCACACCCACACTCCCCAGACCCTACACTCAACAACACTCTCGCAAAAACCCTTTCCCTTTTCCTTTTCTTCCCTCTCATGGCTTGTCGGCCAATCAAACCCTGAAGTGAACACCCTTTAAAGTGTTCTTCCGTTCGTCGGAGTGAAAGAGTCGCCGAAATCCTACTTTTACATTTTCCTACGGCTCGAATTTTTGTTGTTGTTAATTTATTTAGTGGCTTTTTGGAATTGGTGGAGTATCGTCTTCTCTACTTTATATGATTTCTTGTTTCTCGAGCGCATTTACATTTTCAGTGTGTGTTGGAACGTATTAGTGAAGATCTCGAGTTCAGATTTGAGAAAAGGAAAAGACAGAGAGAAAAGATGTATGTGGTCCCTCCTCCGAAGCGCTCCGATCCTCTGTCTGGATCCACAAACGGGCAGGATAACTTGAGAATTTACCAGACATGGAAAGGCAGCAATGTAAGTGTTCTTTTGCTCGATCTCTTCGGATCAACCCGTTTTGTTGAGGTTTTGGTGAAAAATGTTTCATGAATCTCGGTTATGGCGACCTGCTTCTTAATTTCTTGGTAAATTTATGTAAGATCGACGATTAAGTTGCAGTCACTTCGTACAATTTACCCTAGAGCATTGCAACGCTAATTTCACAACAATTTACGTGTTTTTCTGCACTGCGCGTTGTGGTGTTTACTCGTGATACGCGTACCCTAGAAATTTTTATCATTTATTAGCTATTTCTTTTCATGTTGCGAAGATATTAGATTGAATTCGTGTTCATTTGCTGTCTTTTTCAAAATTTGACCTACAGAACACGCATAATAGTAACAATAATTCCTTCACAGTCATCATTTCCAGAAGAAATGGAAAAAAAAAACACACACACAATTTGATTTAAGAAAAAACCGACTTCTGTACATCAACCAAGTGCTTCAATGATATAATGAGATTATAGTATCCATTCTTATGTCAAATATTTTGCATTGCAGATATTTTTTCCTTCAGGGAAGATTTGTATTTGGACCTGATGTAAGATCACTGGTGCTGACCATATTCCTTGTGGTAGCTCCTGTTTCAGTTTTCTGTGTCTTTGTTGCAAGAAAACTGATGAATGAATTTGAAGAACACTGGGGGATATCAGTTATGGTTGTGGCCATTTTATTCACAGTCCATGTAAGTTCCTCTCTGTTACTGAATATAGTTTCCAAATTAGATTATCATTCTAAACTTCTAATTCTAAAGTCATTTATATAATTAAATGTCTCAGGTTTTAGTACTTCTCCTTCTAACCTCTGGGAGAGACCCTGGTATTATTCCAAGAAATGCACATCCTCCAGAACCAGAAGGGTTTGATGGAAATGCTGAAGGTAGTAATCAAACCCCACAATTAAGGCTTCCACGTATTAAAGAAGTTGAAGTTAATGGTGTCACTGTGAAGATCAAATATTGTGATACTTGCATGCTTTATAGACCTCCTCGATGCTCACACTGTTCTATCTGCAATAATTGTGTTGAAAGATTTGATCATCATTGCCCTTGGGTTGGACAGTGTATAGGCCTGGTAAGAAGTGCATTCTCTGATTCTCTCTTAAAATTATCTTTATAGTTTATATTTTACATTTTTACGTTTATTTGTTAGGCCAATTTGTTAGATATGACAAAACAGAACAGATTGTACTACATTTTGCATGTGAGATTGATGTGAATGGGATAAAAGTTGCAATTTTTTTGTCCCACATAAAAATGTGGGACAAAGACTTGCTATTGATCTCTTGTCTATGCAAAAGACGTAAATGCCCTTCTCTTGCTTGTTATTGAAAGTAAAAGCTAGGGTTAATCTCATAAAAGACCTTATATTTTGTGTTTTTTCCGGATTAAACCTTAACTTTTTTTTTTTCATGAAAAAGACTTTGCATTTTTTCATATTTTTCCAATCTGGCCCTTTTAGTCATTTTTCTCCAAAAAAAGTTGTAAAATGTGAGGGTTTTTTCAGGAAAAACTAAAAATGTTGAGGATTTATTTGGTGGAAACATTTAGAAGGTTGAGGGTTTTTTTCGGAAAAAAAAAAAGACAAAGTTAAGGATTTTTTCGGAAAAAACACAAAATATAAGGTCTTTTTCATGAAAAAAATAAAGTTGAGGTTTAATCCGGAAAAAGCACAAAATATAAGGTCTTCTATGAGATTAACCCTAAAAGCTATAAGCTTAAGGACCAAAAATGTTATGAAACCCTCTGATAAGGACCAAAATGCAAAAGTATCCGTTTTTGGACTTACATGAAAAGAACTGCTAAACACAGGGATCGGATTTGTAATTTAGTCTATTTTTTTGGTATGAAATTCTAAAACGTGGGGAAACATAGTAATTTTACGCATTAGATGCCAATTCCAAGTAAGGATCAATGTCTACTGTTGCTTTGTTTATATTTTTGTGCATTTTCATGTTTTTTGTCCACTTTTCTTTAACTTTTTCATTTGATGAAATCTAATTGCAGAGAAACTATCGATTCTTCTTCATGTTTGTGTTCTCCACAACACTACTTTGCATATATGTGTTCAGTTTCTGCTGGATCTACATTAAGAGAATCATGGATTCAGAAGACATAACTTTATGGAAAGCAATGATCAAAACTCCTGCTTCCATTGTCTTAATCGTCTACACTTTCATATCAGTCTGGTTTGTTGGTGGCCTTACTGCCTTCCATTTATATCTCATCAGCACAAATCAGGTCATCAACAATTTTCATTATTTATTTTTTTTCCACTAATTGTAAGAAATAGAAATTTACTTTCATCTATCCAATTGTATCCTTTTTTTTTTTATGCTGATGTTTTCAATCTATCTTTATAGACAACATACGAGAACTTCAGATATCGGTATGACAGGAGAGCAAACCCCTACAACAAAGGAGTCTTAGAAAATTTTGGAGAAATCTTCTGCACAAGCATCCCCGAATCCAAGAACAAATTCCGTGCATACGTCCCGAAAGAACCCGGTCTCGGTGGCCGATCGGTTGGTGGCGGTTTTGTGTCCCCCAACATGGGGAAGGCGGTGGAGGACATTGAAATGGGGCGGAAGGCGGTGTGGGGCGACAGTGGTGCCGGAGTGGATAGCCAACTTAGTGACAATGAAGGCTTGAATATTAAAGAAGGTGGAATCGGAGAAATGTCGCCGGAGATAAGAACACAAGTTGATGAGGGCGATCGTGCGAATATTATACACGCAAGGCGGTCGAGTTGGGGGAGGAAGAGTGGGAGCTGGGAAATGTCGCCGGAAGTTCTTGCGTTGGCGGCGAGAGTTGGTGGCGGTGGTGGTGGCAGTACTAGCGGTCCGGCGGCGGTGAAGTTGTGAGTGGTAGGTTGGTTGATTAGTAGTGCGTGGTGGTAGATAGGATTTGGTGGTGATGTTTGGGTTGACACGGTGGTTTTATTGGTGTGGTTTTGTGAGTTGGGGGATGGGGTGGGATCATGTGTAAAATTAGTTGGTGTTATTCGGGGTTTTTTTTTTTTTTTTTTTAATCGTGTCTTTTGGAAGTTTTTTCTTGTACATTATTTGGCCTAAAACTCGTGGTTGAGTTGATTTCTTGTCAAGTTTTAACAATCGAATTGGATTTGGTGTTTATGAAGCAAGTTTTGGGTTTGTTAAATCATTCAATTAAATGTGATGTATCTAAAATATTGAGTACAACTGAGTTGTTATGTTACAAATACATACAATGAGGCATAGACATTTTTAATGCAATTAGGTAACTTAAATGATTTTTTAGTAAAAATTAAACATAACAAGACGAATTGGGCACATGACTTCTGCTAAATTTACAAAGTTCTACGAAATCACCCTGTTTCTACCCAAAAAAAAAAAAAAAAAAAAAAAAAAGGTAAATCACATGTTTAACTTTAACATGCGGAAATAGGCCCCTTAAAAAACGTTTTTACGAAAAGAAAAAAAAATATTGTAAAATCTTCTAAAATAATTTGCACATCAAAGAAAAAGATTTATATTACACAACAAAAAACAATCTACTCTAATAAATGAAAATCAATATGTCATATGTCATTCTCTCATTACTTTTGACATTTGTAATTTTGTAATTTTTTTTGGATTAATAAAATCCAAATGTCAAATTCTAGGTTTTTTCAAAATTTAAAATTAAAATCCAAAAACTTTATTTAAATAAGTAATGTTTTAAATATGGTTTATTCATTTCTTATTTTAGATCCCCAATTTCCATCTATACTTATACTTATACGTCCTTGATTTGCTCAACAATTCACAAAGAAGGATTTCAAGATTTGATTCTCACCATAATCTTTCATTTTTTTTCTGAAAAAAAAATCAAATTTCAACTGAACATTATAATTAAATAAAAAAGTCGCAGCATCAGTAATGACATTTACAAAACCATTTATAAGATGAATTTCAATTCAATCTAATATTATGTAGTTTGTATGATTAAAAAATAATTTAGATATATCTTAAAAATATCAAAATATATTATACGAAAAACTTTTTGATAATGACACCAACAACATGCTTATCTAGCTTGTATTTGTTTTTTTTTTTATTTTACAAATAGAATTTTATTTAAATATATTTTTGAAAATAACAAAATAATAGAAGTTATTAACAAACTAAATTATTTCACTATAACTATTTTAAATAAAACAATGATATTACTATATATGATTGTAGTTTTTTTTTTCGAATATTAAAATTTGTATTTGATTGTAAAACACGATGATTTTATCATTAGTCTTAGGTTAAAACACATTGCTGATATTTTGATATTTAAACCTTAATATTTAACTTTTGTTTTAAATAACTCGTGTATTACACGGGTTTCACACCTAGTTATATATACTATTAATTGCTAAAATAGTGGTCAACAGGAAACTTTTGGTTTTGTCATTTGTGCCCTTTTTTTCTTTCCGTTCCTACTTTGGCCACAGACTTCACTCCACCGCCTTTCACTTCCCATCTTTCTTCTTATCTCAATTTGCTTCTGTTCTTCTATTCATCATTTTATCTTCTACCCACCATTTTCTTCCTTTGATGGCTTCACGTAGATTTATGATTCCTTTTGTTTGCCTCACCGGCTTCTGGCTCAACCAACTCCAGACCACCGTCTCCACCCTTCTTATTTGTCTGGATAGCCAGCGAACATCATAAACGATGAAGGAAGCTCATTGCTTCAACCTCCCTTCACCGACTATGTAAGCCAATAAGAATTTGTTGGTGTCTATGACCCTTCTTGAATAATCCTTTTCGTTTGGTCTTTGTAGATGAGTATCACACCCCTTATCTCTATCGACACCTCCTTTCACTTTCTCCATTCCCGCTGTTTTCGGCTTTCTACTGCCTTTATCCTCTTAATTAGCTCATTTTTTGTGTTGCTTTTATTCAGATTCAGGAATACACCTTCAGGAACAGGGAAGGGTATGGGTGTAATAATTGTCTTTTTCTGCTACCATCGGTGATGCCTCCCGTTATCACGATTCACGGTAAAAAAAAACCCAAAATTATCTTTTTGCCCTATTTTCGTTGTGTATTTCGATTATGATTCCTCTTTTTATAAATTCGAACGGACGAATTCTAAAATTCCAACACATCCAGGTTTGTTTATGATCGGATTACGGGGGGTAATTTGGTCCTTATTTGAGGTTATTGTAACATGACTATTTTATACATGATTTATAATTATATGCACAGGTTTTTGGTGATGAGTTGTTGATGTCAAATCCCAAAAATGTAGAAAGAGCCATCGAAGAACATGCTTGCAATGCTGTTCTTCTCAAGGTACTCTGTTTAAGTATTAGTAGAATATCTAAAAAATAAAACCACAACTCAAAAAGGAAAAAATGGGAAACTGCTGTATACGAAAATGAATGTTGAGAATATTTTGTAGGTGAACCAAGTTGGAAGTATGACAGAAGCCATTAAAGTAGTGAAGATGGAAAAGGATGACAATTGGGGTGTGGTAATATCACAAAGAAGTGGAGAAGCTGATGATTCTTTTTTTAGCTGATTTATCAGTGGGTCTTGCCACCAGTAAGAGAGCGCTCAGCCAAGTACAATCAGGTTTGTTTTTGACTTTTTACCTATTAAGTCAAAAAATTAACATCCATGTAAAGTGAAGTAAAATGGAATTGCAAATAACAAAGTTTCTTTTCTTAACATTTAATAACGCAAAGAAAGTAAATAACGGTTATGCCCTTACAATGATGAGGATGGAGGCTTTCACCGAGGTCAAGTGCTAAGAAAACAATGGTGACAAGAAGCAATATGTGACCATATATGTTCCTCATTTTGGAGTGTCTTGAGTTTTCTTTAAGGGTTCCACTGAGAGAATTTGAAGGGTAAAATGGTCAGAAAGAGATTATCTGGTTCACTTTCATTCAGCCAGGTGACTTCATCGATAGAAACGACGACTTCATGTAAGATCCATCTTCTACTTCAGGAACCATCGAATTGTTGACTACGACGCCCCCTGCACTTGTATTCCTCTTCAAGCATCAACTGCCTTCTTCCTGTGCTCTCTTCAAGATACGTGTTTCATTCTGAATCGATAGTTTCTATTGGTAGTTGTGGGTTTTTGATTCCATGCTTTCAATTGGTGGTTGTGAGTATCCCTTCATGTTATCCCGATAAGTAGATTTGTGCTGCTTTATGTTCTGACAGCCTGAGAGGCGAGCTTTCATCCATGAGGTTAAAATTTTGACTTTGATTTTATTGATGCTCTACTTGCTTATATATTGCTTATATATAGGTTTTTGATTCCATGCTTTCAATTGGTGGTTGTGAGTATCCCTTCAGGCCCAGGTTTTAAACATTTTTTTTTGTTTTTTTTAATTATTAACAGATTTCATGGGCTATAATTTATTAAAAAAATAAAATCTTTTTGTTTAATTCATTTGTAGGGCCCAGATGGTGGTGTACTTTCTTATTTGCAAAATCTTGGATATAAGAAGCCATATATAAGCTTCATGGATAGCATAACAATGGAATTTTGGATTGCTGTATTTGATCCTACCCACTACAAAATCATAACACAGGTAAAGTCAACATTTTAGCATTAAATATTTAAATAAAAACAAAAAATGAAATTGGCTGGCTTCTAGATGTCAGGTTTGCTTATGTAGCAGCTAAGGCTTCACCAGATGGATTATGTACATATACACGTTGAAAGAACGAAAAAAAAATTTGAATCAGCGCCAACGGGCGCGCATGATTCCATCTAGTTTTATATTGTAGTACCTATAATAATAATAATAATAATACAAATTTGGACTATCCAACTTGAATAATAAGGTGTCTAAAAAGAAATATGGGTTTTATCCGAAACATATATTAACTCGCCGTTCTAATAATAATAATAATAATAATAATAGTAATATTATTATTATTATTATTTATAGAATTTCGTAGATTTGAACTACACAATTTATGATATCTGATTTGTAAATGAAAAGGAAAAAAATTGTAAAAATTTGAAATAACCAATTGGAAAACATATTTTAAAAACAAATAAGAGTTTTGCGGAATATACAGGTCTGAATGAAAATATTTGAAAGTGTACGAGTACGATGGTGTAATAATCTTATAATCATACCATCTAGTTTAAGAGAGCAGAACAACATAGTATTGTTGCCTTCTAAATATTTATAACATCATTACTGTCATCACCTATAGGTTAACCTGGATACACGTCAAAATAAGTATATTACGTTTTTGGAAACCTGGTGAATAATATCGGGATACAACACCTTGTAACCCAAAGGGAGAGACTCTTCCTTTAGACCAATGTACAACCCCCTTGTTAAAATAAATTTGAGTGTAAACATCGTAAATGTGGAGAAAGAAACATTAAGATAAGGGTTATTTCCATAAAAGACCCTACATTTTGATTTTTTTTCTTTTTAGACCTAAAAGTTTTTTCTTTTCCGAAAAAGACCAAACTTTTACCTTTTACTTGTTACTTTAGACCCTAATAGGTAAATTAAGTATTTTTATTTCATAAAAGACCCAACATTTTGTACTTTTTTCCAGTTTAGACCTAAAATTATAAAAAACGTGATTATATCCTTTAGTTTAAAAATATACATCGATTTAAACAATATAGTTATTATGCCTACATTTATTTATGATTGTAAAATTCTTTGTCCATGTATATTTATAAAAAAAAAGACCCTATATTTTGTAGTTTTTTCCGTTTTAGACCTAAAATGTTTTTTTTTTCAAAATAAACTCAACTTTAAAATTGGTTATAATCTTTAAGACCAAATATATAAGATACTTTTTTATTACGCCGAAAAAGAAAGTACACATGTATACACTAAAAAATATTATCTGATCTATTATCTTTTGAACGAATATAACCTAGAAGAATTGCAAAATTTTATTTTTGTCTAAAAGATATATCTTGGATATATATTATATCATTAAACTTGATATATTATTTATAAAAAATGTTATTATTACTGCTAATAAAAAGTTCGATGTTAATTTGATATTTTTTTGTAACATGGATAATACATGGCTAGGAAGAATCTTTTAGCATAATAACATTTTTTTTTATTTGTAGGAAATAAACATACCAGGTAATTTAACAAAACTGTATACAAAATATTTTTTTTAGTTTGTCTATTATACTTATTTCGTGAGTTTGGACATATTTCCCTCTCTCACTTTTCTATATTATTTTTTTGGTTGAATTTTTTAATCAATTTTTTTGGAACAGTTAACAAACGAACTAACTATCATACTCCTAAACCAAAGCCATAGAATATTTTGTAGCATTAGCCCGTTATTGAATAATATGGTATAACTATATCAATATACATACATAAAAATATTAATCCTAAACATTCATAATAGTTTTGTTTAGATATATCAAATTCAAGTTTTGTTTAAAATTGCAAAATCTTATTTTGTATACAGTTTATTAAATTACATGGTATATTGTTTTTTTCTACAAATAAAAAAGTTGTTATTATGCTAAAAGATTCATCTTAGCCATGTATTGTCTATGTTACCAAAAAACATCAAATTAACATCGAACTTTTTATTAGCGGTAATAATAACATTTTTTATAAACAATATATCAAGTTTAATGATAATATATATATATATATATATATATATATATATATATATATAATATATATATATATATATATATATATCCAAGATAAAGTTTAATTATATCTTTTAGAAAAAAATAAAATTTTGTAATTCTTCTAGGTTATATTCGCTCAAAAGATAATAGATCAGATAACATTTTTTGTGTATACATGTATACTTTCTTTTTCAGTATAGTCAAGAAGTACCTTATATATTTGGTCTTGAAGATTATAACCAATTTTAAAGTTGAGTTTATTTTGAAAAAAAAAAACATTTTAGGTCTAAAATGGAAAAAAATAACAAAATATAGGGTCTTTTTTTTATAAATATACGTGGAAAAAGAATTTTCCAATCATAAATAAATGTAGGCATAATAATTACATTGTTTAAATCGATGTCTATTTTTAAACTAAAAGGATATAATCATGTTTTTATACAATTAGTCTTGAAATAAAAAACATTTTAGGTCTAGATTGGAAAAAAGTATAAAATATAGGGTCTTTTATGAAATAAAAATACTTAATTTACTTGTTAGGGTCTAAAATAACAAGTCAAAGCTAAAAGTTAGGTCTTTTTCGGAAAAGAAAAAAGTTTTAGGTCTAAAAAGAAAAAAAATCAAAATGTAGGGTCTTTTATGAAAATAACCCTTAAGATAAAAGTAATTTGCACAGTCATATAAAAATAGTAACGTTCTCATTAAGGTCAAGCACTTAAACATCTCTTGCTTGGACTCTCCCACCGATGAAAACACTTATGCAAAACATCTCTCATTTGGATTGTCTGGTTGATGTAAGCACTTATCACTCATTTGGACCACTAATTCTCGTAAATACCGTAAATATATGCAAATTCAAATGTTCGTAATTCTCACCAAAGTCAATCTCAAGTTTAACATTACACGTAATAAAGTGAGACGTGTCTCACTATCTCATAATGTGAAATAGTCTCGGAATTAGGATAATATGTCGATCCACAAAATCCATATACAAGTAGCTAGCTCATATGCAAGTAGAGCATGTCTAGAATACCACACTCGTTCCCATTTCTCGTTTTTGCTACCAAGACATCTTTTGGACCCTTTAGTATGATCCCATTGTACTCTAAATGCACAAGTTCACGTGAGGAGACCTTTGCAAAAGAAAACATATTTGTCTATTTTTAAAACAAACATCTATAAAAATGTATCTTCACGTATGCACAATAATACATATAATAGGCACATAAGTACGTAACACATAGTAAATCGCGCCCTAAATACTCAAAACATCACTTAAATATTTTTAGGGAAAACAACCAAAAAGGGTAATATAGTTCTCATTATGTACACATTTCGCCCTTATAAGCCCTTTAACTTGTACGCATTCAATTTTTATGATCGACTATTTTAGGTTAAGTTCTCAGTTTTGTTCACATTCAGTTTTTATAGCATTAGAGTGAGTGTGCTAGTAATAGTAAGACAAAATGTTTTATTTAAACTTGTGAGAGCAAATGTTGTAATTATCTCATATATATATATATATATATATATATATATATATAATATATATATATATAATATTATAATATATATATATATAAAAGAAAAATTAAACCTTATAAATTTAGTGTCTTTTATTAATTCTAGTTAACATGCGCGGACACAATGTTAATAATTAATATTATTTAAATATTCAATTTTATAAATTCAACTTAAAAACAATATTAAATCAATTAAATATTCAAATGTAAATCACCATCTAAATAATATTTAAATAAAGAGGGAATATCCAAAATTCGAAATACATCAGATTTGTTTCTTTCTCAATAAGTTAGCAAACTTGCGTAGCAAGTTAGGGTTCCAATGGACTTGATCCACACACGCCGTGCCAGACCTACAAAAGACGTGCTGCGTCCAATCGATCTCCAGGTTTCTTTTCCAATTTCATTTTTAAGGGTTTGTGGTTATTAAACCCTGACTTAGGATATAAGAAAAATCGATAAAAACCAACAGAATAATTCCGCACCCTAAAAACCTAAAATCCAAAAAAATAATTTAAAGAAATAAAATTCAAATCAATTTGGAATATAAGTGCAAGTAATTAGGAACCAATGACTATGATACCACTATTGAGTTATAGGCATTCAGTACACATGAATATAGCAACGGAAGACTTAAACGAAATTCTTATGTACATGTGCAACATATAATGATCTAGGTTTTAATATATTATTATGACTACTAAGAAAGACAAAATAACATCTCTTTTACAGTTAGAGACTTTCTGGATTGCGATCTTGTCATTGTCACCTTATTTCGATGGGGAGCATCCAAAATAGAATCCCTCTAATGGTATCACATCCACCAAACTAGAAAAGGAGTAATTTTCATAAACCTTAGAGTGAGTTAGGAAATCGTTCCAAGGAAAGGAAGGAAGACCGACTCGGAGAGTAGGACTGTCATAATGAAACCCTAATATTTGGGTTTGCACCCTATTTAAAGAACTTATAACGCCCCAAACTAGCCTCCATTGTCCCTCCCAACCCAGAGAAAACCCTAACTCGAACCCTAAGCCTCTATTGTGTGTTCTTGAGCTTGTTGGTGCCTTTTTGTGTGTTTTGAAGTTGGAAAAGAGGAAGGAAGCTTGGGAGTTCAAGTAGAAGCAAGAAGATCTAGAGGTTTTGCTCCATTCTCATTTCATTCAAGGTAAAAAGCTGGAACCTTGACCATCTATCTCTTAGATCTTGATTTGGTGCCATTTTCTACCCTTCTTATGAGTTTAGTGAAGCTATAATCGGATTTTGTGTGTGTGCTTGGAGTTGCACTTCAGATATGGAACCATTGGGGGTCCTTATGGCATAAAGGTGCTAACTTTGTTGCTATAAGCACCCCATGCATCTTATAGACTTCTTTTATGGTATTTTGAGTCAAAAACCCCATGCATGGACGTAAAGATTGGAACTTTACGTATGAAATGGACCTTAGGAGGTCAGATCTATGGTTTTGATGCATTAAGACCCATTATAATCGACTGTATAGTTTTGGTCATAGTGGTACTCGACGAGTCTCTTGGGTTACTCGGCGAGTCGGGTCGTATTTTTCCCCAATGTCTTCTGAAAGTGGTTTTTGGTTGAGGGGAGGGAACACTCAGCTTGTTAGGGGGTTTGTGTTGGACTTAAAGATCAA